TTGCTGAGTGGGCAGAGGGGAAGGCAATTTTGTCTTTTTCCCTCACCTCTCTGCTCTCAGGTGCAGACCCAGTGATGTCCTCTCCTGCTTCTCCTCCCTCAGCCGGGGAGAAAAGATGGTCCAGACCTGGAGGGTGAGCAACCAGCAGGGCTCCACAGAAGGATGAGTCTCCCCAGGACCTCTATCTGCACCTTAAGAGAGGGGAAGCGAGGAGCCATTGGCCCCATCCTGCTCGCCTCCTTGCACTCCCCCTCTCAGCATGCAGGCAGAGGCATTGTCTGAGCAATGGTTGCATGCTGCAGCAGGGAGGATGTCAAGGAAGGATGACAACTTCTTCACAGATGCAAAGGCTGGCTTGTGCACACACACACTAGCGGTGGTCTGCCAGTAACTCCTGCTTACACTTGGCACCCCCAGAAAGCTGCAGGCTGCTCTGCTGATACCAAGTTAAGGTGCTTGGTGGGTCCCAGAAGAGGGCTGGAAACCAGCAGAGTATCCTTACAGGAGCTCAGGAGCAACAGGAGCTCCTGCAACAGGAGCTCCTGAGTCGCTGAGGACAAGGATTTATTTCTGCTGAAGGCAAACATTTCAGCAAGGAAAGGCAGGGTACCAGGTACCATGCGAAGCTATCTGGCCGGTCTCTCAGTGGTGCCACCCAAGAAGATGCACTGCTGAGACTTGCTGAGAACCTGCCCTGACCCTTTACAATAGCATCAGGGAGAAAAAAAAACAGATTACAGTACTGCTTAGTAGATAATCCTATTCCCAAGGGAGTCCAGGAGCCTTAGGCATTCACAACAGGATCATGTTTTTCTCTGGGCCTCCAAAACGTGCATTTTCACATGGGTGCCTGGGATGCCTAGAATTTGTAAAGTAACAGAGCAAAGTGGCATTAATTAAAACTTGAACAGAAACTGACAAATTCTCAGTAAACTCATCTGCACACCTCAGCAGTGTCACCAAGACTGCTCCAAGCTGAAATGTGTAATGACTAAAAAATGCAGTGAAAAACTGCATTTGCTAAGCCCAGATGAGACTTAAAAAAAATATACCCTTATTAATTTACAAGTATACATGGAAATGGAGAATAAAAAATAAAAAAAAAAATGAAAAAAAATCATTTTTGCAGTTTACTTTTTGACTTTTCGTATTGCTTCAAATCATCTCCTCTGCAATGACTTTGAAGAAGAATTATCCAGTTTCTGTGTCAAAGCTGGGAAAGGCATTTTACAGGAATAATTTCTTTTTGAGCTCAGCAATTTAACTGCAGTCTTCAGCAACCAGAATATTTCAAAAGCAGGAAAAAAAGTTAAATGTCACATCTTTGCCTTTTAAAGCACCGCACTCCATAATCACAAGAGGTTTGCTGGGCATGTTCCAGTCTGCCTTCAAAAAGCTCATCTAGACAACTGCGCCCTGATAGCCAAGCAGGGCCTATTTACAAATCTGTACAGGTTTTCTGTTTCTGCAGTGTGCTTCCTAATGCCACTAAGACAGGACAAGTTTTCTTCTCAAATGCACATTTGGTATTCCCTGAACGAATTTCATCTTCTCTCTCTTCTGCTTGTTTGTTTTAAACCATCAGAGCATGATGAACAGCTGCAGGGATCTCCCAGCTTTGTTTCCCCTCCATGAACTGTTGATCTACCACACTTGATTAATTCAAACAATCCCTTCCAATGAGCACTATGATGCACCTGTCCACACTGAGCCTCCTAACACAGCATGCTGCTCCACATGGCTTTGGCTCCAGCAGCAGAAGGCACCTCTCCTCCGGGAAGAGGACTGAACATTTGCTCCACTGTAGTAAGCCTGCACAACTTCTAAAGCCCCAGTGCTTGTGAAGCGCTGATGGTTTCTATTCAGGACTCTGCATTTTTTAGCAACATTGCCGGGGTTAGGAGCCAGCCTCCTGACTTCTAGCACAGAGTGGCCACTACAAACTGGTAGTTCAATAAGCTGTATTAATTGACTTGGACCCTTCGGGAAGTCTGGCAGAGCACAAATCCACTCAGGTGGCAATTTTTTTGATGTGTGGCCCTTTGACTACTTGGGCTGGGAACACCAGCATATTTCTAAACAGTCCTTTAATTTATCTTGATGTTTCTTTATGCATTAAGGATTACATCCATCAGGAAGGCTGTCTTGTGCCAGGCACAACAAAAATAACAGCAACAAACAGAATCACAGAATGGTGGGGGATGGAAGGGACCTCAGGAGATCATCTAGTCCAACCCCCCTGCCAAAGCAGGTTCCCCCAGGTTGCACAGGAAAGTGTCCAGGCGGGTTTTGAACATCTCCAGAGATGGAGACTCCACAACCTCTCTGGGCAGTTTATTCCAGTGCTCCAACACCCTCACAGTAAAGAAGTTCTTCCTTAAGTTTGTCTGGAACTTTCAGTGTTCCAGTTTTTGACCACTGCCCCTTGTCTTGTCATTGGGCACCACTGAAAAGAGCCTGGCCCCATCCATTTGGTCCTACACTTCAGGTATTTATAGACATTGATCAGATCCCCTCTCAGTCTTCTCTTCTCCAGGCTGAAGAGTCCCAGCTCTCTCAGCCTCATCTCGTACGGGAGGTGCTCCAGACCCCTTAATCATCTCTGTGGCCCTCCACTGGACTCTCTCCAGAAGATCCCTGTCCCTCTTGAACTGGGGAGCCCAGAACTGGGCACAGTACTCCAGATGTGGCCTCACCAGGGCAGAGCAGAGGGGGTGGAGAACCTCTCTCGACCTGCTGGCCACGCTCTTTTTAATGCACCCCAGGATACTCTTGGCCTTCTTGGCCACAAGGGCACACTGCTGCCGCAAAGGACACCCAGGTCTTTTTCCACAGAGCTCCTCTCCAGCAGGTCAGCCCCCAACCTGTACTGGTGCATGTGGTTATTCCTCCCAAGGTGAAGGACTCTACACTTACTGTTGTTGAACCTCATCAGGTTCCTTTCCTCCCAACTCTCCAGTGTGTCCAGGTCTCGTTGAATGGCAGCACAGCCTTCTGGTGTGTCAGCCACTCCTCCCAACTTCGTATCATCAGCAAATTTGCTGAGGGTGGATGCTATTCCTACACCCAGGTCGTTGATGAAGATGTTAAACAAGACAAGACCCCTAGGGAACACCACTAGTTACAGGCCTCCAACTAGACTCTGCACCACTGATCACAACCTTCTGAGCTCTGCCAGTCAGCCAGTTCTCGATCCACCTCACCATCCACTCATCTATCCTGTACCTTCTTGGTGAAATCAAGGTAGACAACATCCACTGCATTCCCCTCATCTACCCAGCTGGTGATAACATCCTAGAAGGCTACCAGATTGGTCAAGCATTATTTCCCCTTAGTGAAACCATGCTGACTACTCCTGATAACCTTCTTTTCTTCCAAACAATTTTCAACTGTCCCTCAACATTACTTCCCAAGGGGCTCTGCAGGACAGGCCAGTTTGGCTGTACTACTCCACATAGGGGAAGGGCAAAGCAAAATGGGAGAGACCTGTCTGAGTTCACTCAGTGGGCCAGTATCAAACCCGAGATTAAAACCCAGGTGCTAAATAACAGGTGAGCCAGCACTCTCTGCAGAGCCACAATGTCGCGCAGGCAAAAGGGGCTGGGAAGCAGGACAGTGATTTCTACATCAACTTTCTACTGTGCCTGAAGATTGCTGGCCAACCCGAGGGTCTGTGGCACAAACACGGGCCTTTCAGGTATGGAAAGCTCTACCCATGGTGGTCTCTCCCTGTCCTGTGCTCCCCTCTGAAAGTCTGTCACAGAGTACACAGGAGCTGCAAGGTGGGATGGTTCCCTGCAGGTGGAGGGTAGGATCTGTCAAAGCTGAGGCTGCAGTGTGCTGGCCTCCAGGCACACAGTAGCCAAGACAGCATCAAACCCTGGCCCGCAGCGAGGACATGCCTGTTCCATTCTCCAGTCTGCACCAGCCTCTTCCACCTACATGGCAGCTCAAGACAGAAAATGGGATTGCTCAGAAGAATCCCTTCCTGAAGAGAAAAGGCAAAGTGCTTTGTCATTAGCAGAGAAATTGCAAACACCTATCTATGCACACCAACAAGGAAACTCCTGGAGGGGGGGAGCATCAGGGCACAATACATCATAAGGCTCTATATAGCAGCTAAGTGAGAATGTATAGTTAAAAACTACACAGAGGCCCTTTGTCTTTAAAATACAATGCTAATCGCTGACATCTACAGCAGCCTCCTCCACAAATAAATTTAAAGCCCAGGTAGTCATTCTGACTGGGTAGTCCCTAATCCCCCTGACCGCAAAGACAACACAGGTTTGGATACCCCCTAGCCTGCTAACTCAGGAGAATACTCTTTGCTTGGAAGGAAGCAAAGAAATTATGCCAATGCTGTCATCCCAGCATTGCCAGGTTTCCACGTTTCATTCCTTCACACTTGTGGGTCTTCAGGGTCAATGCAATAACGATAAGCAACAGTGACTATTTACTGTAGCACCTGCTGCTAAGTACCAATACCAACATGTTCTGCATTGTCAGGAAACCAGTGTTCCCAGCACCCTAGGCTAGAGCCAGCCTTCTGCAGCTGCCCATTTGTACAGCTTTTCTTACAGCTACAGCTCGCATTCACAGCACTGCAGCATTTGTCCAGTTAATTTGCCCACCCACCATGTAAATAAAGTGATAAGTGACTTGAGAGATGAAAGCCACATGCCGATGGGAGGAGATAAATAGGGAAGAGACAGAATATACGTCACAGCGCTCTACCCCTCCCCCTGCTCCTTTAGAAACAGAACACAAAAAAGTCCCGATGCTTCAATTGCTAAATGATAAATTAACAAAGCAAAGCAAAGCAGGAGCAAAGACATCTCCCACAATCTGCACAGAAACAGCAAAATATACAATAGAAAATGTCACTAACACCCCATTCAGGCAGATGCACTTATTTTTTGTGAATGACAGGTTATTAAATGAAAAAATTTTGACCACCGGTACTTTGCTGCATGGCTGTTCCCACAGTTGTCATTTCCACCCTAAGTGACCTTCTGCTTAATGCTGGGTGTTTCTGGCCTGTAGTCCTTCCTCTCTGAGACATTGCGCTTCACCTTGGCACTAACTGGAGACTCCTGATTCAATGAGGGACTCGAGTGGGATTTCTTCAGTCCTGGTGCATCGTTCTCTCCTCCGCTCAGCAGCTCCTTCACCCCTTCTTTCAGGAGGCCAACGTAAATCTCATAGCGATTTTTCTGGGAAATGAAAAGAGAGGCCTGAATCAGTCTGAAAGAAATTCTGCAGAAGCACTTGAGAGATCGTCTGGGTAATTTAATGGTTTCTGCTGGCCTTGAAAGCCAGGAGCCTAATATGGATGCGAACAATGGTGCCTGATGTGGACATGAACAATGGTGGCTAATGCAAATTACACTGTACAAAAAGGATTTCAGACAGGCTGAGCCTGGGGTGCTATGCAATTAGAGGCACTCAGTTCTGCAGCACACAAATCCTGGTGCTCTGACGAATGGTGGCTTGCAGCTATTTGGAGCACACGGTGATCTCCGAGTAACAACACCAAGCAAGAGCTTGCTGACCTTAGTCACGCTGACTCATATTCTGTGCTCACACGTATTAAGATGTTATGTGCCCTACACAGGCATGGAGATAAAGTGCAGCAAACTAAGGGACAAAAAAAATACTGCTGTGGCTGGCTACAGCTCTGTCCTATGACCCTCCACTCCTGCCAGCAGGTCCTGCTTTCCTTGCTTCAGCCCACAGGCAGAAACCAAAGCAGGGTCCTGCTAAGCTCAGACTGTACCAGCTTGGCCACCACTGAGCCTGTGAGAGGATGCTCTGCAAGGTCAGACGTTAACAAAAGCGAGCAGATGAGAGGGCTACAACAGCAGCACGGCATGTTCCCCTGACAGGGCCACTCACAGTGAATGGTGAAGGTTGCTCTCTGTCCAGACACTTGTGTTTTTTATCTGTAAAAAGTTCACTTTACAGTGCTGCAGGCCCACTTGTTCTGTTCTTTGTCTGTAGCGAAGCTTTCCCTCTCCAATGGGAAGATTTCACTCTGTGCCACAGTAACATCTTTCTGCACAGAGCATTTCAGCAACCAATAAAATGAGGGAACATTAACAGAAGATCCCTGCAGGGCCTCAAAAACAGAAGCTGGGGCAAGAGGTCCTGAGAACAGAGCAACCCATCTCCTGGCATTTAATAACCTGCCCCTGACATATCCACTGAAGGCATGGTGCAGGCATTGAAATTAAGGTGACCTGAGTGGGCTGGGGGCCAGGGAAGGAGGGTGTAAACATCTGTACTGATTGTTAATTTGTATTTCAAAGTGGCAAAACAGTTGCCAGCGTGTTATGTTCCTGACAGAGGAGAAAGTATGTCATAAAAATTCTTCCGATTTACAATAAAATAATAAAATTCTTGTAATAAAACTTACTCAAGGGCAGGAAGTCAAACTGTTTTGAAGTGTGGAATATTTAGGGGGGGAGTGGGGGGTGTGGGGAAGGAGAAAACATGACTGGGTTTCCAAAGAGTCCTTTGAATAAGCAAAACCTCACAAAGGAGGATCATCAAAGAATCCAGTCAAAATTTAAATAAAAAAACCCATTCTTATAAATTCTGTATCAGGAGCTCCAGCTCCACAATGTGAGAGACAAACACATGAAGCAGGTAAGATGTGTCATTGAATAAAAAAGGAAATGGAGAAACAGCAAGCAGAACCCTGATGATGATGCACTGGGCCGATGAATGATTTAACACACAACAAACGGGACCCCTCTGCAAAAGAGAAGCTAAGCCAGTGCTCTAAGCCTGCAATCAGCGTAACGTTCCATAGGGACCTTCTTCTTTTTGTTGGACCAGTAAACACCACCAGGGTCACAAGACTTGGCAATCAGAATGAAAATGAAGGACAAGTTTCTGCCTGGCATGTCTGCCAATGGTCATTTTGCCCTGGACTTCTTAGGCCCACAATTTCTATCGCAACTATGTGATGCATTTATCATCTATTATGATTTCAAACGCAACAAAAGTGCTCTTTTACTGATCTGACATTTGAAGCTAGGTATTAAAGCTGATGGAAGTTTTTCTTTAAAGGAAAGTAACCTGGAAAATTCTGTCAAGAAAATAAAAACCCAAAGTTAAAACCACTCAAAAGCATTTGCAACATTATCTCTGAAGATTGAATGCACATAATAAAGAGGAGATGAGGTAGCCACCCATCAAATTTCTGGCTTCACCTCCCAGCTGACAGCACTCAAAAGATCTCTCTCAAATCATAAATTTGGTGCAATGAGCAACCATCATCTGGAGCAGTACTTCCTCAGACAGCAAGCAAAGAGGAAATGTTCTTTCCTTGGTGTCTACAAGAAAAGACACCAGCAAGAAGAAATGCTCCTGGCTGCATCCCTGAACAAGGACCAGGCATCTCCTGATTCACCTCCCCTCAGAAGGAAATACCATCTCACTTATACTTTCATCAGGAACAAGGATGAAGGAAACACTGTTGTGTGGGGAAAAAAAAGGCATTATAAGGGCCTACAAAAAAGAAATCTGGCTTCTTCCTTCCTAATGGGACTATGCTGCTTCCTTTGGGACTCTCTGTCCTTTTTGCTGCACTTCTGAAGGTGTATCAGCATGGTCCCTTTGTACATGGATGCAAGGTCTGGTTTTCAGGCTCAGCCTGAAAGAGCCAAGTTCAATATTCTGCCTCAGCTGCCTCTTGCCCTTTCGCTTTGACCCCATGCTGCAAGGTCTGTCACCAGCTCCTGCCTGACCCTGACAGGACTTTGTTTGGATGGGAAGGTAATGAAACTCCAAAACCAGGTGAAAGTTTCCATTCAGGATTTTCATATAGCTCGCCCTTTTTTTTTTTTTTTTTTTTAACTGCTGATTGGTAGTTCAACATGGCCTAAGAAATCTGTGCCAAGTGTCAAAGTAACACAGCATCGCACAGCAGCACCTTTAAGCACCATCTCTTGCACACAACTGAAGTTGGTGCCACCAGCTGCCTGCATAGACAGATATTCCTGCAGCACTGATCACATATCTGAACTGTACATTTCAACTGCTGTTCAAGGTTCTCACTAGGAAAGAAGATTTCTTTTGTTTCATGAGCTGTACTGGTTCTGCTTTGTACCTGAGGAATATTTCTCCAAAGACTGCCACAATAAAACTGATAGAAAACAGAAAAAATCCACAACAATTTCCTTTTTCATCAGTCTTTCTAAAACAATCTAACACTTCAGCCTACACTTCATCGTTAACGCATCATGCTTCTAGAAGTGACAGAAAATAAACTTTGTGTCAAGCACCCAAAGCCAATGAACTCTTTGTTCTCCCAAGTTGCACAAACCCCCTACAGAGTGAAGGTGTGTGGCTTGCTCTGTACATCCAGTGCTGTGTTCAAAACTGACCTTGTGCCATTGATCACAACCCTTTGATCTCAATTGTTCAGCCAGTTTCCAAACCACCTTACTGTCAATTTCCTCGTCCAAACTTCAATAGCTTGTCTATGAGGATGTTAGAGGAGACAACACCAAAATCCTTGTTAAAGTCAAGAACAAACAACATCCACTGCTCTCCCCTCACCAATCACACCAGACATCTAATTGTAAAAGGCTATCATTTGAGTCAGGCATGATTTCCACTTCATAAAGCCATGATGATTACTCACAATCACTTTCTTGTCTTCAATGTGTTTGGAAGTGATTTCTAGGAGAATTTGCTCCATAACCTTCCCATAGATGGAGAAGCAGCTGACCAGCCCATAGTTCCCTGGACTTTCCTCACCTTCTTTAAAGACAGGAATGACATTTGCTTTCCTCAAGCCTTCAGGGACCTCCCTTGATCACTGTGACTTTTCAAAGTCGGAGTTTTGCCGGGAGCTTGTTTATCCATGACGACCTTCAGTCACCTTTGCTTGGTTTCTTGCTTGTCAAGGTGAACCATTCCTGAGCTTAGAAGAGGTGATCCTTGAAAAGTGACCAGCTCTCCCACAGCTCTTTTCCTCCCAAGGCTGTATCTAATGAGATTCTTCCAAGCAGTTCCCTGAGCAGGCCAAAGTCAGCTCTCCTAAAGTCCAGGGTTGTGATCCTACTTTTTACTTTGACCTCTCCTTTCAGGATTGTGAAGTCCAACATCTCCTGGCCTCTGCTGCCATGGTTGCCCCTCCCTTGACCTTCATATCCCCAACCAGTTCTTCCTAGTTTATAACTGAGAGGTCCAGCAAAGTGCCTCTTCTTGTCTTCTCCTCAGTCACCTGTGTTAGGGAGTTGTTATGAAGGCACTCCAGAAACATCCTGGATTGCTTGTGCCCTGCTGTGTTGTCCTGCCAGCAGATACAGGGGTGGTTGCAACTCCCCATGAGAACCAGGGCCTGCAAACACAAGGAAAAGGCCTAGCAGGCAGCCACCGCAATGACACCTGTCTTGGTGTGCCCACTAATCCTGACCCACAAGCTCTCAGCTGGCTCACCACCCTTCCCTAGGCAAAGTTTAATGTGTGCCTGCTACTCACTCACAGAAAGGGTGACACCTCCTCCTTGCCAGCCATCTCTGTCCTTTCTAAAAAGCCTGTGTCCATTCATGCAGCACTCCAGTCACGGGAGCTGTCCCATCAGCTCACTTCAGCCCTGTTTTATTGATAATGTAGCCTCTCCTGTTCATATGATTGTGTACAAATTTGCTTGCCAGCCCTGCCCACCACTTCCTTGTTTTATTGTTGGTCAGATCATTTCAGGTATGTGTAATGTGGAAGAAAAAAACTGAACAACTTTGTTCCTTACACAAAACAGCAGCAAAACATCCGTGCAAAACATCTCAAGCTCACTGCATGCAATGCAGCCAAGTCACACCCAACACAGTAGTTACAACCTTCTGCAAAAGCAAAAGTACACAATCAGTCAAGCTCAGGAGTAAAAAGAGGTCCTCCAAAAGAAACTCATATAACACAATGGCAGGAGGCTTACTTCAGTTCTGGAGGCTGTGTTGCCTCCAGCATCTCCTCTGATGGTCCCTCTGACTTTCGTCTTAACTGCTTTTTCTCTTCTTCAGACTATGGATTTTCAACTTACAACTTGAGACAGTTCCTGCCTGAAGACCTCATAATCCCTTCAAATAGATACATCAGGCAAAGACAGAGGGTCACATTTTTATCCTCCACTATGAAGACTAGGAGCTAAATTCATGCTGAAGGTCAGAAGGAATCGTTATCAGAAAGAGGAGACACATCCCACCTTCTGGGATTGCTGTGATGTATCTGTCTAACAAGAACATACTCCTTGGTGAAGTAAGATGAGAAATGCAGAACTTTTAAGACTGTGCCCCAAGTATAAGACCCCATCCACACCCAAAAAGTAAAAGTTATAATTTTTCCCACATATACCTCAAACTCCAGATAGTGGTCCTTCAGTTTGTAATCATCTACTTCCTTGCCTTTGAGCTTCTTGTCGGGAGGATAGGAGCGATGTTCGGCAAGCTCAGTGGAGATCTGCTTCAGCTTAGCTTCATGGGACTTCAGCTGTTCATCCTTCAGAAACATATTAGGCACTTAAGTGATAGACTCTAAAATACTTGATAAACAAAGGAAAATAGAGATCCCTGTACCATAATTCCAAATAGTTTATTTTTCTTTCTCTCTTTCCTTTAACTATTTTTAATTAGATTGGTAAAGTCTGTTATCCCAAAGCTCTGTCCACAGCAGCTCTCTCAAAGTCACACAAGCACAGAGGCCAAGTTTGCAGAACAACTCAGCAGCTAGCAGATGCCACTGGGAGGGAGAGCAAACCTGTCATCCCTTGCCTTGCTGAGAGCAACGGAAGCAGCCTGCTGCACAGTATTACTGACAACATGACACTTCTGCTGTAATACATATTTTTGGCAAATCAATTAAGGCTGCTGTATGCAGTCAGACCAAGGGTTGAATGAGACAGGTGAAGATCCTGCCTCAGGTCTTTGCAATGAAAAATAGTTCCTTCCAGGACAGAAGGGATGTGGGAGTCAGGGCCCTTCCTTCCATTTCCACACTACCAAATGCTCTCTGGTTTGCAGCTTCCATTTGTTCAGAACAATACAGTGCATCCAGAAGAGGAAGAGCTGTTCAATCCCCAAAAGGTATCTCGTTTTCCTAAGCTGCTACCAGTTTTTACCCCACTGTGCAGTTGGAGAGAGTGAGGAGCAGCTACTCCCCTTTTCTAGGCAATTTCCTTTATCATAATCCCAGGCACACTCACTTCCTCCAGTCCATCTGTCAGCTAACCTTCCCCCAGCTCAAAAGGCTTCCAGTTCCTGCAGCATGGCCTTCTGGCTATTTCTAGGCTTGGATATGAAATTATATTTGAATTAGATAAGTCCAAAATACAGACATGATCATGCAGATTTAGGTGACTTAGCCAGAGTACCAGAGTACCCAGCTCAGCTCCCACATCTGTACCTAGCCTCAGAGAAGGTGATAGTTGCCAGTAGTTGTCACCCAGTGGTGTGGCTGTGCAGCTTGCAGCTTTGAGCCTAGCTCAGACATGCTTGCATTGCACTCTAAGTCACACCAGGGACTGAGCCTCTCAGCTCACTGAGTTGGAGCTGTGGGAAAGAGAAGAAAGGGGGAAAAGTTCTTACAGAGGCTGATAGATGAGCCCCAGCTAATCTTGTGTTTCAACTCTTTTGCAAGAGAACTGAAGAAAGAAACGTGTGGGATAATTTGCCTCCATGTACACACAGTAGGGCTCAAACCACTCTCTACTGGCTGCTGAAAATTCTTGTTGCCGTTAGTAACTACTCTGGATCTGCTTTCTCTCCCTATTGGTGCCCAATCACTCTTTACGTTGTGCTGAATCCCTGGTCCCAGTGACATCCTGTTGCAGCGAGTTCTAAAGCCTGATGGCAGGACATCTTTGAGCAGCTATTAATTTGTCACCTGTAATTTCCAGGGCCTTCGGAGCTTTTGTGTATGCATGCACATTCTCAGAAAAAAGGAAAAGAAATACCCTAGCAGATTTTTTCTAGACTGGTTATTCCTTTATATATAGCTTTGTCACATCCCTCTTTGGTTGGACTAACCAAGATCAGATGCTGATCTGCCTTTGAAAGCAAACTCGGTACAATGATCTTGCACAACCTGTCATGTCCAACCTCTCTCCCTAGCCGATGTTAGGTTCTCACCACATCCCAACTTCAGCCTGACCAGGAACAGGTCCTTTGAAGAAGTACTTTCCATGATGATTTAGCCCACAAAATCCTAAACAGCAACCACAGGGATTTGACAATTCCTGTTTTTTTGTCTGCCAAATGAGAAGCAGGCTGCTGGCAGCTTTTCCACACTGACAGATAAAAGCAGACATGTTTCTACTTGCCTTTGAATTTATCTGCTTTGAACACTTAACATCCTTCTTTAGCTAAAACAGCTTATCTTACTCCACTTTTTGTGTCTCCCCTTTTTTGAGACACAAACCACAGGGCTGTGTTCTATTTTTTTCCTTTCCAGATTAAATGGAAATAATGAGACTAGGAAACAACGTGCTAAATGGAACATTCACACAGAACAATGATGAGTAAAAAAAGCTTTTTTTTGGTGACTGGGTGTAAGTTATCAAAGCTCCATACAGTATTTTAAAAAAGATATGCATGAGCAAAAGATAAAACCACAAGGATGAGACAAGTTAGTATTACTGTGTGTGAGACGTTTTAAACTTTAACCCAGAATAGAAGATGGAAAGTCGGTCACCACATTGAATGAAGAAAGGCTACTGCCACAGAGAGAGAAAACACAGGGCTGACATAGAAAACCCACCCCCTTACAGAAATGCATATTATGAGATAGTGGTTTCTAAGGAGCATTGCTAAGCTATAAAAATGGGAAGAAAAAAAAAACAAAAACAACAAACAAACAAAAAAACAAACAAACAAACAAAAAAAAGCAATCCAGCATAGGCAGATGACTTTAAAAGTTACAGGAGGTTACTCATAAACTATACACCTAGGATTGGGATCTATCACCTCTGATCCTCTGTCAGCCTGATCAGTGCAATCAATACCATGTTTCTGCCAGTGCAGGTGGAATTGCAGGCACGTGTCACAGCTCCCAAAGCACACAGAGCTATATAGGTGCAACCATCAGACACAGCCAGTCTGAAACAAGCAGAAGTAGGTGTTTTTTGGTGCAAGAAGTAGTAGAGCTGTGAAACTCCCTTCCACAGGATGTTGTGGAACCTAAAAGCTTATGTGATCAGAAGTGAAGGTTAAAGATGTTAATGTAAGAGACAGTTTATACATTAAAGAGGAAATCCCTGAGTGATAAGAATTGTAGTCTGAAAAAGTATTGTGGAAGAAATAAAATTGATGCTTGCCTGATGCATCAGCTTTTACCTTTTATCATGCCGGTAAATCAAAGAGCAGGAGTATGTCCATTTCTTCTGAAATTAGTGTCAATAAACATTCAAATTTAATGGCTTTAAACTGAAAGAGGGTATGTTTATATGAGATATTAGGAAGAAATTCTTTCCTGTGAGGGTGGTGAGACACTGGCACAGGTTGCCCAGAGAAGCTGTGGATGCCCCCTCCCTGGAAGTGTTTAAGGCCAGACTGGATGAGGCTTTGAGCAACCTGGTCTAGTGGAAGGTGTCCCTGCTGATGGCAGGGGGGTTGGAACCAGATGATCTTTAAGGTCCCTTCCAACTCAAACCATTCTATGACTCTATGATTCTATGAAATTCAAAGAAACACCAGTCAGACAGTACTTGAAATGTCCTCTACAGAGCCATAATGGTGGGATGAAAATCCTGTATCTGGTACTAGGAACACTGGTCATTGTTTATTTTCTTCAAAAACATACAACAATTATATTCAAGTCTGCTCCCTCTCTTCAACTTGCATCAGGAAACGAGCAAGAGATTTACTGTGCAAGCCTCCTTCTCCCATGAATGCTAGTGGCAAGAGCCAGAAAACAATGCCAAGGATGACCATCCAGTCTCCAGCCAGCTAGACAAATCACCATCACCTATCCTCTATATAAAACCAGCTCACCTGAGATAGCTTTGTTGTGGTGGCTGGCAGGAGTGGGCGACTGAACTTCTTCTGAGAGCCAATTGCTGCTGGAAATGGCGGTGCAGAGAAGACAGCAGCCACACAGTTAATCTTGTTGATCCAGGTCTGCATTTCTTCTTGGCTCCTAGGGAAGAAACACATATTAAGTACCTGTTGACTCAGCCTCCTCTACATCTTTCCCACCCTTTCAATGGCATTTTAAAAGCAAAAATAACCAGAACTGGAGAAGTCTTAGAGTCTGCTGAGTCTTCTGGTTTGTCTTTGGAATTAGCTAGTGTAGGTATCTCAGTCACAGGCTGTCTTGTGATTAGGTCCATAACCCATCCTAGCACATGTCTTTTTCTAATCCAATCCAAATGACACAGGCGACAGAGTCAACTAAGGCCCTCATTCAGACATATGTCCTAAGGTCTCAGCTGTGCTGGACACCAGAAATCTCTAGGAGGTTTCACATGTGTCTCAGCAGAAAAGAGCTCATGCACAAGACTAATGTAGAGGTTTTTATGTCAGAAGCAAAAGGCAGGTCATCTGTTCTGTCTGGATATCACATCCTGAAGAAATTAATCAAATTATTCTTGTATTAAGTGCTAACTTTGTTTCTGACCAAAGTGTATATTCTAGAAAGACATCTGGTTAGGACCTGATGACATCAGGAGACAGACCATCCAAGACTGCCTTTGGTCATTTGTTTCAATGATTAATCACCCTGACTGTTAAAAGTTTGTGCCTTGTTTCCAAATTGAATTTTCTACAGCTTCCACTTCCAGCTGCTGCATCTTGTTATGCCTTTCTCAGCTAGATTAAAAAGCCTCTTAAAACTTGATGTTTCTTTCTCATGAACTACTTGTGCGCTCTAATCAAATCACTACTTAATCTTATTTCTGATCAAATCAACAGATTGAACCTCTTAAGCCTCTGCTTTAACCTGTCCAGGCATGAATTTACCCCTCCTTCAGCACTGCTTTCTTTCCTCAACGACTGGCACAAATCAGAAGAAAGCACTTACTGGGCTTGGAAAAGCAGGACTCTCCAATCTGCTGTTTTAAGCTTGAGGACATTGGGTTTCTTCTCATAGTCTGTTGCCTTGGATGCCAGTGCATGATGCACACTAACTGCATTCTTCAGATCTTCCTCTGACAAAGCCTTTTCTGGCTTATATTCATCCTGCAGGAGATAACAGGGGAAAAATGGCATATTATGCCACGTGCTACTCCTTTTCCCTCAACCTAGGGAAAAGCCTTGCTCCACAGTCACGAATAGTATTAAAGTATATGAACAAATACAACCCCATTTGAGCACTTGTGGTTTCCACTACCTTTAACATTTTTGCCTTTCTCTTTCTTTCTCTTTTCCGACCTCTCTTCAAGGCAGAGAAGTAGTTCCACTTCCCGCTTGACAGGAAGAGGGGTAAACAGTGAGTATTTGACAACCACAACAGCTGTGGACTATTTGTCTTCATTTCAGAAATCCTTTGTGGTCAGCTCCCCACCTCCGCTGCTCAGCCGCTGGCTCCTGGTTGGGTTCTCAGCCTCCACTGCTGGATTTTTTTAATTTTTTTTTTTCCCCCCCAAACAACTACCTTTGTATGTCCTTCTAGGCAGGCCCTCACACAGTGGAGAAGTCTCCTTATCAGTCTCCACAAAGCAAATACAGAGCCTCCTTTATAGCTCTCTGCTCAGGATACGCAAACGGCAAGCACAACAGTGTCCGGGTTTTTGACACAACAGTACCACTCCTAATACCAAATGATAAAAGCAGGGCGTCAAACTCCTCTGTGTTTAAAATGTGTCCTGGTTTTTGGCTGGTACAGAGCTAATTCTCTTCTTAGTAGCTAGAATAGCGTTGTGTTTTGGTTTCAGTATGGGATTTGTTATGAGAAGAATGTTGACAACATACTAATGTTTTCGATTGTCACTGAAAGACAAAGGACTTTAAAACTTACCCATGTTTTGATAGTCTGCATGTCCAAAGGACTGAGGGTGGAGAGCATAGTAAAATTAGGAAACCCAAACTGGCATTTGGATATGCCAATGGGATATTTCATATCATGTAATGTCATGTTCAGTATATTAATTAAGGTCAAACAGAATGCTTGGTCTTTACATGCTCTGTCTCTCTCTCTCTCTCTCTTCCCCCCCCCGCCACCTCCAGGACTGTGGTTTTAGTTTCAGGTTTGTTGCTCCTTTGGGATCATTATCCAGGAATGAGCCAGGCTTAGTCAGCAGGTGGTGAGCAATTGTATTGTGCATCATTCATTTGTATATTTTATTATTACCATTATTACCATTATTATTGTAGTATTATTTTATTTTATTTCAATTAATAAATTGTTCCTATCTCAACCTATGAGTCTCCTAATCTCTATCCCTCCAAGTCTCTCCACTGTTCCCTGGAGGAGGGAGAGTGAGTGAGAGGCTGGTTGGTGTTTGGCTGTCAGCCAAGTTAAACTACCACAAAGGGTCAGCCTGGGAGCAGTCTTTGATCTCCTGAGTGACAGAAGCTGGATGAAGGCACAACCATGGTGTAGCCACAAGTTCAGTTTAAAGCCCACCTGACTACAAATGGCTTGGGAAAGCTGGGAGCTTTTTCAATGAAAAGTCACTTGCATATGCAAGGTTTCTGAAGGAGAGGCCAAAGCAGTCTGCAATCGACACCATTTCTCCCCCTTAGTACATCACAGACATCAGTCACACCTGAAACACCCACCAAGGGAGGAGGTGTGATGGCTGCAAAACAGGAATAATTTCCTGCAGGCCAGATAACTATTGATCCCTCCACTTTAACACAAGAGTTACAAGATGGGGTTTAGCAGGCAACAGAGTATTGGACACAGAGCATGTGCAGGGACAGCACTACCTTAAAACACCCAGAGAGGCACCCACCCTGGAGAAGAGCTGGTTAATGTGCATAAATTGGTTTACAGGGCTTATTTGGCAGCACACAGACCAGTGTTGCAGACAGAGACAACTACAACACTGCTGGAAGCATCTGAGCTCTCAGCCAGGCTGGATTTGGTTGGGGGTCTTCAGGACGTGTTTCAATGGATAGAGAGTCACTAGCTGTGGTGACCACCTGCCAGAAGGGAGGACAAAGTATCCTGCTTCTCTGCCACATCTCATCCTTCCTCAGAGATGTCCAGCCAGTGCAGGGCCAGAACCCGCTCCTGCTCAAACACTTCACCACAGGAGATGCATCTAATCAGCGATAATGTCACAAGTACCACCTCCACATGGGGCCAGACAAGGGCACAACCCATCACAGATCTGCATCAGAGCACTGCTGCACAGATGACCTTCAACCTTAGGTAGCCTTCAACCTAAACATCTGTGATATAATGGATTTCCAAGGTCACGGACTTCCATAGTGAGCGAACCCAAATGCCCTTCCTCTCTTGTAGTTTGAGTCCCAGTAAGCTTTGGAGGGATCTCCATATCATGACAGACTTTGCCTTCTCCCACTTAGGGCACTTTCTAAACATTCTTCAAGGAAGATCTCAGAAAGTCTCTAACCAAAGGACAAGAACTGGAGGAGGCTGTCCAACATCTGTCCTAGACCCATCCTGAAGATGGGGGAAGCAAGCCCCTAGGTCAAGCGCCTTCCTTCATGGGTTCAAAAGCTGATTTATTTGCTGGTAGTTTGGGGGAAAATGACTGGCTCCACCACCCAGGGAGACTGCGGAAACGTCAGGGCCAGGAAGTGAATTTAGACAGGCCTCAGAAACATGATATTCTGGCTTTCCTTAAGCTACTGCCTAGGGACAGTGTCAGCTCTTCACAGAATCACAGAATGTTAGGGGTTGGAAAGGACCTCAGGAGATAATCTAGTCCAATCCCCCTGCCAAAGCAGGTTCACCTACAGCAAGTTGCACAGGAAGGCGTCCAAGCAGGTTTTGAACATCTCCACAGAAGGAGACTCCACAATCTCTCTGGGCAGCCTGTCCCAGTGCTCCGTCACCCTCACGGTAAAGAAGTTTTTCCTCATGTTTAAGTGGAACCTCCTGTGTTCCGGTTTGTGCCTGTTGCCCTTTGTTCTATCACTAGCCATCAATGAAAAGAGTCTGGCCCCATCCTCTTGACACCCGCCCTTTAGATATTTATGAACATTGATAAGGCCCCCTCTCAGTCGTCTCTTTTCTAGGCTAAACAGACCCAGTTCTCTCAATCTTTCTTCATAAGAAAGATGTTCCAACCCCTTAATCATTTTTGTAGCCCTTTGCTGGACTCTCTCAAGCAGTTCCCTGTCCCTCTTGAATTGGGGAGCCCAGAACTGGACACAATATTCCAGAGGCAGCGTCGCCAGGGCAGAGTAGAGGGGGAGGAGAACCTCCCTTGACCTGCTGGTCACATTCTCTTTAATGCACCCCAGGATACAATGGCCTTCTTGGCCACAAGGACACATTGTTTTTCATTTTTTTATTGCCTGTTGCCTCCCAGCTTCCTTTGTGAGAAGCATCCAACGTCTATAACCCACTCTGGTGTCTAAATCTGTTCCAGAAGAACTCCACATTTGGGCAATCCCAGAAGCAGTCCTGGCTCAGAACTCCTTACCAACAGAGAGTGTTCACAATAATCCTTGGTAATTCCACTGGATCAACTGGCTGCAATCTACCTTGACAGCTGGGGTTCCGCCAGCTTCTCCAAAGGCACTGAACAGCATACCGGAAATGTCTCCACATAGTTGGCTAGCCTCAGAAAAAGCTGGAAGGATGTGAATGTGCTGTCAAAATTCCTCTTCTAAGGCCTCCAACTCTTTTCAACTGTCAGGGAATGCTAGAGGAGCAGGAATATCCCTATCTCCTACGCCATCAAGGACAGCATGTGTTCTGATGCGCTGGTGTCAGCATGAAGGTCGAGCTGAGATAGAAGGCAGCTCACTAAAGTTAGACCAAGACAGTGGCAAGAAATACATGAGGATCCAGAAAGGAACTGTGACCTCTCTGTCAACTGAAGGCTGATGTGAGGGCTCCACATACCGCAATGACATGCTGAATTCATCTTTCTTAGACTCTTGGTGACTGACTTTTCCACATCCTGCTGACCCGGAGTCAGCATGTTTCTAAATCCACTTTTGATAGACCAGAGAATAGCATTTGGCTTTTTATCAGTCAGTGTACCATGGGTGGATATCTCAACTTAGTTGCATGTGACGGCTGCAAAATTCTCTTTCAGAAAGTCTCATCAGCAAATACTTAACATCATTCTGGCCTTTCTCTCCTTTTTTATAGTTTAATAGAGGAAACACATCTGAGAAAAGCTATATAAAAATACCTGAAATTATAAAGTGCCACGTCAATGAGTGAAGACGTTGCAAACTTCACAGAAGAGTTTGAACAAAACACGAGGGTTCATGTCCTGCACTGCTTGCCCAGAAGCAATCTCTAGCAACAAAGCGCTGTCAGCCTTAATGTTCTCTCCTTATAAACCTCTCTTCTATATGCACATCACATCCCATGTCAGTCTAGTGAACAGACATTCTGTCAAGCTCCTACTTTGCAGTTTCCTCTTGCTATGAACAGAGGGCAGGAAATTAACCTTGGCTTGAGGATGCCCAGAGACAGGGCCAACATCCCAAACATGTCAAAGCTCTCATTTGATATAATACTGTGCAGGCATGTTTAGTTCTCTAATTGCTAATGCTTCCACTGAGCTCCTCCGGTGGCCTCTGTGCTCACTAATTCAGAAACCATCTCTCGTAAATCAGTCATTTAAAAATAAAACTATGCAGCACAGGAATTAGCACTGGAACAATTCCAATGGAAAAAAAAATGTGGGCATGGAGACAAGATGCCCAGATAAACTCCCCAGTAAATCTCAAGTGACCACCATTTAGAAACCACCCTCATACATGGACTTTGACATTAGAACAAGGAGAATTGGAATGGTATGCAAAGAGAACAACAGCAGAATTGGGAACCATACTGCTCACTGGGGGGAATCACAGCTGCTATAAACAATATTTATATTACAGTAGTGTCTGGAGAGAACAGCTGAGTTACAGATAAACGCAGAAAGCAATAGTGCAGAGGTTTGTGTGCATACAGCACCTCCAACAGTCACATTTCTCTCTCCCCTGCTTGAATAGCACTCAGTGCAATGAAACCATCATCACAGATGTTACGTCCACAGACATCTAGATAATATACAGATAATGAGAGAAAGAGGGAGAATGTGTGTGTATTTCCATATGTGAATGTAGCACTCCATAATCACAAGAGAAGGCAAACAGAGGCAAGGAAATCCTTTGCCTAGGACTACTGACAGAGCTATGCATTTCCACAAAGAAATCAACCCATTCTAAAATGCTCCTAAACTTTCTGAAATTAGGATAATTTCAGTCCCCTGGTTTATTGCAAAAGGAAACAACAGCTCAGCAACTTTTACTATAACAGCTTGGTTTAGCTTTGTGTTTTAAAACCCTGGCAGCCTCAACTTCTGCAGTACTATGTTCCTAACAGAGCAAAGTTTATTTCAAGGCTGAAAGCCCTGCTGGAACTTCTGGAGCTGAAGAGAAATCAGAGGATATTTCACAGCTGCAACATGAGGCAGAGGCTGAGCAGAGGCCAGAGGCACCCTGGGGAGACTCACAGCTGTCCCATCACTTTGGGAGTGAGTCAGTTCCTATCAGGACCCTCTGTCAACCTAAAGTGTCTTGCTTGTCACTGTGCTACAGCAAGATGGTTTCAGTGCAACTGTCTTCAGGACGAAGTGGAAAAGTGGAGCTTTGTTGAGTAACTGCCCTGTAATCACTGAATTCAAGTGCAGTGACAAGTGTAAGACACAAAACTAACAAACAAATAAGAACAAAAACTCCAGCAACACACTTCATTCTGCAAAAATGCAGTCAGATGCGAAATTACTCTCTTGCTCTCCAAAGGATGGAGGGTGAGACCAGGGAGAGCAACATTCTGTAGAAAATTTGCATGCTACATCAGCATCTCTACATTTTGTCAAACAGAAAGCATGTTAAACTAATACGCTAGTGATACTCATCAACATATTTAATTAAGACTCTAAAATAGACAGCATCTCCATTTCTTACCCTTGAAAGCTTATTACCCCCCAGATCAATTTATTAATTAATAATTAATCAATTATTAATTAATAAATTAATTAATGTATTATGGACAAGGGGTCTTCTTACTTCTCGGGGAACCACATAGTCTTTTCAGATGAACACTGAAGATTACTTACTTTAGAAATCAAAGCAAGTGACTCAGTTTCACCCAGGAAAGGGCAAATACAAACCTGCCATGAAGGCCACTTTAGTAAAATCTAAACCTGCTGCCAGCACGAGGACCAGAGGGAAGGCTCAGCTCCGATTCAGCAGACTTGGTTCTAGCCTCTTGCACTGGCTTTGAGCATGTCACATCCAAATTTCAGCCCAAATCTTCCCTCCTGACTGGAGATTGTTTTGTCTGTGTCAGGATTTCAGTCCTCTCAAAAACGTACTGCACCCAAAGTGTCCACCTTGTAAACCTTATGCTGAAAGAATTTGATCCAAACTGCTCTCTTGCTTCTCAGAGACTATCCAGGTTGGCTCCAATGAGACCAACAACTTCAGGAAGCCATAGCAGGGGGGAGGAAACAGCAGTATGCACTTAAACTTGTGCTCCTGATAGTTGCAAACCACAATGGAAACATAAAAAGGCTTTCAAAGGAGCAAGCTTCTACAATACAGGGTAGTCTGGGCCAACACCTATTTAATGAATATTTCACCTAACAATCTACTTCTCTGCTACCATTTATTTGATTTTGACAGCTCTCACTCACATGTTACATTTCATGTTCCAAGAGAATAGTTAAAACTGTACTATATTTAAGCTTTTGTCAAAAGACCTGAAGGGTTTCAGCCGACTTTTTTCTACACTCTTTGCTGTCACGGAGCAAAATTTGTTAGAAACCAGTGTTTTATCTTGAGTTGGGGGTAGAGGGAAGTATCTTTTTATCCTTCAATTTTGCTATGGAGCAGAAGCTGCAGATTCCTACCAAGGCTAAGCTGCTGTTCAATTGTTTTGCAGCTGGTCTTGCAGGCACTGCAGAAACGTGTACTATGAAAAGACAGGGAAGAAGGTCAGCCTTATAGGAGGGAAAGTCGTACGTATGAAATGCAATGTTACAAGCAGCCTAGAGGGATGCGTGGAAGACACAGAGAGATGATGCTGTCTTTGCTGATGAAGCTGGCTACTTTTTCAGCTGTAAGTGACAGCAATGGTATAAACTGGAATTGATAGGGTGCACAGGTGGATGACGACAATGGAACTGAACTTGAAAGTGAAAAGGGAGAGGGTGTCAATGAAAGGATTCATGCCTGAATATGTGTGTGAACAGGGTGGGGGGCAGAGAGAGCAGTTACACTGTGTGTCGGAGGGAAAGGTGCCTGGAGGTGGGATGTGAGAGCAGAGAGGATGCCTGCTGCTTTATCCCTCTTTAATTAGTTTACAAAAGACAGTGATTTCCCCTACCTTCTGCAAGTACAGCACTGTTCCCTTCAGCACAGCATAAAAGGTTTTCCAGCCTCGCTTTCCCCGGGGAGCTGCAAAGAAAACGAATGAAAACCCATTTAACTCGGATCCATTTTTACACTTTGTCTAGGCAACAGGAGAGCTACATTAGTCCTGTGTTAAACCTCCTTTGTACTCTCCTTTTCAAAGGACAATGCAACTCAGCACACTGCCTGCACATACCTGCTGTGTGAGAGAGTAATAAAACAACCCTGATGACAGCCCTGGACTGGATCAGAAGGGAACAGCAGCAATGCAGAAAACAGGCCAGAGAGATCCAGTCTTTGTGCTCTTGTAGGCAGGTGGACACTGCCCCTACACAGCTAGGTCTGAGTTGTATGCCATAGCAGAGTTTTCAGAAGGAAACACTTTTTCTCCATGCCACAGCAGCCTGGAAGGCACTGCTCAGACCCAAAGGGACATCGCTCAGAAAGCAGTGCCTCTCAAAATCATCCTTCCCCCTTGCCGCTGCTGCACACCCAACTCAGCACTGAGTAGTCAGGCAGCTTCTTGATCCCCTCCCCTCTTCCTGCAGCCACAGGGGAAGCTGAAGAAAAAAGAGAGGGGAGCAAAACAAAATCATAAGGAAAAAAAGCCCAGAAGAAACCTAAAGTCAGCTAGAGATTGAAGAACATAATAGAGACAACATATCCAGCCCACAAATTTCTAGAAAGAGGGTTGGGGGGGGAAGTGGAAAAAGAAGGGGGATTCAGCATGAAGGCTCCAGTTTGAAATTCAGCTGCAATAGAGGGAGAGAAGGCACAGGCTGTACAGTCACAGTGTCAGAGACCAGAAGCCTGCATCTAAGCTCATTCTCCACCAAACACACACCACTGGCTGCCATTCACTTGCCTCTACATTGAAATTAATAACCTGTACACAACTAAATCATCACCCTTGGAAAGGCACCCCATTCTGATCTGAAGACAACAAGTGATGGTGAAGAGGTTATTAGTCCCTTGCTTCAGAGGTTAATCATTCTTGTCTCATGCAACAGGCCTTACTTCTAATTGGCATTTGTTCAGTTCCGCTTCCAGCGATCAGGTCCTATTATGTCCTTCTCCTCTAGACTGCCTAAGTGCTTTAGCCCTCAGTGCTCCTTTCCTGAGAAAATACATACAGCATGCTAGCACATCACTTAATTAGCAATCCTGCACAAGTTGATCTCTGCTGTGCAACAACTCCCTTAAGAAATGAATTACAAGAAGGTCTAACTAACTCTAAAAGAAAGAGTTTCATTTTATTTGCAACTGCAAAGTCAGAATGTAGTTTTTTCAAGAGCTGCATGACAATGAGCAACAGACCTCTAACATGTACAGAAACTTCTGAAAACATGGCCCTAATTACATTTGTCATAAGAGGATTATCCTCAAAATGCTAAAATCCAGTGTGCTGAATAATGAGGAATTTTGATTACTTGTAATTACATATATAACTTAATAAAGGAAAACAGATACAATTATTTATTAAGGTTAAATAAACAGCAGTTTAATAAAGAGGAACCTGTTCAGAGCACCCAGTTATCACAAAGAATGAGATCAGTTTGATTCCAACATTTCTGTTTGGATTTAGTTGTCCAGCTGTCAGCCTTCAGCTTGAAAACACCAACTTCGAACTGTACTTTCTAAAATATATTAGCAAAACATGCAAACATCAAAGAGCTTAATCCAGCAAGGAGAGAGCTGCAGTTACTGGAGATCATCACAAAGTCAGGCTTTGCCATCAAGATTCAGCCCAATAGCGTGAACTGTGAGTAGGTGATGCAATGATCGGGTGAAAACACAAATGCTCTGAATAGCCTCTGCTGTTTCCAAGAACATAAATAGAAAACAAAGAAATTAAGATGTCCAAACAACGAAACACACACAGGTGAATCAGAAGCCTTTGATAATTAGTGCACCATAAATGGAAGCAGGACAAGAAGGAAAGAGGATAATTAAAGTAAGTAAGAGACATAGAAGGATTATTACAAAGAAAGGGGCAGGGACAAACTGTATAGCATAAATCTGGGTGTTTACAAAAGCTACTGAACTTCACTGGGTAGGTGATACAAGGCTGGGAAAGTAGGAAAGGGAACGGTTACAGCATCTTCCAAGTAGAGATAAAGAACAGTCTTTCTCTAAAGACAGACCCAGAGGGGAGGGAAGATTTGAAACAACCTGGTGTCACATAAGGAAAAGGAGAATTAACAAACTACTATGGAACAGCTACTGTAATTCACCTGAAACCGTTTTCTCTTCTGTAAACCAGGAGATTCATTTTCTTCTAGCACAAAAGATTCACATTGCTTTGCTGTATCACATTACTCATTATGCTCATGCATTATAGCTGCTGCAAATGGGACTGAATATTGTAAATCTTGGCCTAACAGTTAGCGTGTGATAATCCAATTGCTGTGTTGTTTGTTATTGCTGCAATTTCCCCTAATGAAGCAGCACTATTTGCCTTGAGAAGCACATGGGCTCATTGTAAGTGTCATTGTGCAGAGATAACAAGAAAATGAGATGTTAAGAGTGAAAGATACTCACTTTTCTTTCCATCCATATCTGCATGGCTTTTCCGAGCCAGAAATCCAGTTTTATACACAGCAGCACTGGGGTCATGAGGGATGTCTAGGAATGGGTTATTTGAGTTGCCAATTCGACTGACAGCCTTCGTCTGGCTCCCATTATCCTTTTCATCTGTACCATCTGAGTGAGACTTTTTTTTCTCATCTTCATCCCTTAAAAAGCAGTGAAAACCAAGCATGAATGAGGGACTGACCAGCAAAGTTTTATTTCAGTAATTCTTGCACACTCCCAGTAAAAACATACCTCTATTTTTATAGGAGGCCCTATTTAGAGAGATACCTAGAAACATACCAAAACATAGTTGGATTATAGCAAAGCTTCAGTACACCTATTTCACCAGCACAGGACATAGGAGCCAGATTTTCAAAAAAGCCCAACTTTCCCTTTTACAGTCTCAAAAGGCAGGATTTCAAGAGTGTTATGTGTCCTTCAACTTCACCTATTTTTAATCTCACTTATTTGAGTGCTAAAATGGGAAATATTTGCCTGCTGGGCTCTCCTGAAAAATTTCCAATTTCTTCAAGAGTTCACATGTAGATGAAAAGAATTAGATTACTACAGATCACTGTGGCTTACCCCTTAACTTAGCATATGAAACACAGACTCTACCTCCTCTTCTTTATTTTCCTCTACAGACTAGCCTAAAAGCAGTAATTTAAAAATAAAAACTACACTAGGTGAATTATGTTATCTGTATTTTAGAAACAAAATGCTGCTCAAAATGTTACTTATTAGGGCAATGTATTCAACACAGCTCTTGGGTACAACAATGCAACTCATTTCAGCAAGTCACAAGCATTGCCTCACTAATAAATGCCTTTTTGCTCATCATTGCCAAAGGCAAAAGGACCAGGCAACCTAGAAAACAAAGGGTATCTATCACAAGAGTAAGACCATGGTTTTCCGAGAACAACAGGGCACTGAATTTGGGTGGATGGTGCATCTGGAGGAAACACAGCTGGTGTGTCCCTTGAAGTCCCCACACATTCCCCTCCAGGTGACTGGAAAAGGTGTGTTAGGGAGTATGAAGGCTGTCATTGGAACATCGTGGTAGCAATGCTTCTCCTAAGACCAGCCATCTTATTAAAAAAACCTCATTATCACTTGAACATAATGATGGCTAATAGACGGGGTAGACTTCAAGCTGGTGCATCACACTGGCCCCAGACGATCAGCAGAGAGAGTAAACTCAGGTAGACCTTCCAATCACATGCGTACATTCAAAGGCAGGTATCAGATAAGGATTAACAGTGCAAAAGCTCCTTCTGGGGCACAACACAACCATGTCTGCCTGTGGGAATGACCATCCAAAGAAATGTCCCCCAAGAACTGCAGGTTAGAGTGACAAGCTGTGTTATCCTGATCTCTGCTGAAATGCTCCTCTGGGGAATAACTTACTGTGAGGAGATACAAAGATAAAGGACTGGTTTGACAACAAGGAAACCAAATTCAGAGACACAGAGGCTATATTAATGAACTCAGCAGTGCCAGGGAATGCTCCTAGGTGTTTGGCTTTGATCATCTCCTATTACTTTGTGCTTGGCATGGTCTCAGCCCAGCACACTCCCAAACAATTTCCTGATACTGTTTAGGAATCAGCCCAGTCAAGGATCACCCCAACAGGTAGTAGAGAGGCAAGCATATTCTTTTGGAGGGTAAGACTTTTCAACAGTATGGATACGGATGCTACACATTGACATTCAGACTGGGAGTCACACCAAGGTGCCAGACATTTGATTTAATTGTAGATACAGCCAAGGTGGTGCATCATACCAACATGGTGTTGTTTTGCAAGGTCTCCTGATTAAGAGGAACAAAACTTTTACCTGAAGACCTGATTCCTGCAAGGGAGAATAGTCCTTGCTTCTTTCTGCCTATTGATATGTGTTTTCCCACTCCAGAACAGAGAAATCTGCAAAAAGCTTTTTGTTGGTCAAAGTAATAAGGATTTCTTCATGCACGCTTTGGTTTAAGTCCTCTCCAAACTGAGAAAGTGTAGGAATTTCTGACAATGTTGACTGTCCCCACCCTTCCTGTGTCTCCTGCACTTATTAGCTGCTGGCAAGCCTGGACTATTGTGTGACACATGTTTCTTAGATATGTGTCCATTCCAGGAGCAAGTTCTCTCAACACAAGTCTGTAGTACCTGATCCAGACTAAAACTGCTCATAGGGCACAAGCACTTGGACTGATCTGTCACATAGCAGTGCCTTGTGAATTGTGGGATCTCAGACAAGGACACAGTCAATTTCTCCTTGTCAGCAGAGACCTCCATTTGTTTGGAATAAGCTCTCTCCTTTGGAGCTATGGGACTAAATTATCTTATACTGATCAACTGTCCTGTGGGAATATTCCAGTGCCCTTATCCAAGTAGCCACAGATGTTGTGATGAGCAGTCTTGGGGATCCTGAACATCAGCAGTGCCAGGGGCAGTGCTCTCAAACTCAGCATCTCTGGGGCAGCTATTAAACAGAAACTCTTCAAAAGACAAATGCAGACAAGGACAAAATGGCATCTGTTGTCCTGACCACGGTAGCACTGAACAAACCTTTAACTGGTCCTTTAAACTGTTACTGAAAATGGAATATCCTTGAGACTCAGAAGCCTCAGGCACTTGTGAGAGCTGAATGCTTTGACAAGATGCACAAGGTCAAGATGCATGAGCCAGTCTGTAAGGTGCAATGAAGGGAACCAGAGAGGCAAGGAGGACTCCTTACAGAGAACAAGAAATGGATGAACAGCTGAGAAAATAGAACTAAAAGGAGCCTCTGTCTCCCTCTGATCTTGAATATGAACCACCAGTGGAAACAAAACCAGGAGATCTGGGACCCACTTCTTCAAATGCTCCATGTTGCTTCAGTGGTTCAAGCATAAGAAGAAAGCAGGATGATTGGGAGAAGTTTCAAAGTAGCAAAACAGTTCAGGCATTAGCCTTTTCTTACATACTCAACAAAGCTGCCTGAATAGATAGGTCCCATATAGGCTTTATCAAGGATGAAACAATTTGAGCTTACTCCTCACCAGCCTTCAGAGTACAGCTGCAAGGAAGAGCTGTAGGAAATTCAGCTGTCCTCTGGATATATACCCCTAAAAACTGATCTTTGTTCAAAATCACAGCCTGTGGGGGATCTAACTACTTCCTCATCCTCAGATGGCTCTCACAGCCATTCAAGTCCTGTAGCATCCCTGGCATGGAGGATGGAGGCCTCCTGTGATGCAGAGGTAAGAGTCAGTGTGTGACGTCTCTGTGCAGGTCTGTTCAGTCATGGATCTGCGTGACACAGGCAGAGCTCAGGTCCTTGCCAGGGACAGGCCTGGTGCCTCTCCTTTCCATTTGGTACAAGAAATAGCACAATTCTTGTGCCTTTAAGGAATAAAAAAACCCACATTGGTTCCATCACACATTTCAGTAGAAAAACATCCTCATGAGGGCCCACTTAGGTCTGCAGAAGTTTTGAGATATTTTCTGTCTTTGATCAGCAGAGGGAGATCATTCCTGGCTTGGATCTGGAAGTGATTCCTCTGGTGACTACTCCCTGACAAGTGAAAGGGTCTGATGGCTGTAAACCCTCTTGTAGGTTTCGTTTCCATCCATGGGAAGCTGGACCTACTAGAATCTCTGCTCTGCAGGGTACTGGTGACAGGAAAAGGCTACCACCTCTAGAAGTTCTCAAAAACTCTGCTTATGGCACGTGATATTTCCAAGGTTTCCCAAAACAAGGAGCTTCACTTCCTGCTCCTCCCCTCCCTTCTCCCTTAGCTTGTCTCTTTGGAAAAGGACCTGCAAACAGAGCAGTAACCAGGGCACTGGCTGCCCATGAGAACCAGCACACCAAAGCCAGAATCTCCTTGCTTTATAACTTAAAGATACAGCATTGAAATAACAATGTTTTCCTTCCCAAATGCATGGTCACTGACAACCAGAAAGAGTTTGCCCCTTATTCTTAAACATGCAGATTTGAAACACAAGCAAAAATGTAGAAGTTGCCATTTTTGCCTCTCCCCAAAAAGACCCTACACAACAAAGTGCCATTTTTGTCTTCTGGGAGAAAACCACCACCTGGTTCTCTCAGTTACAAAAACAGTTCTGCACACCCTACAGCCTGATTTGAGGTTCTGCCTTGAAAAACTTCAAAGTCACTAAGCTGGAAAGACAGGGTCCAAACCCTCTATTTTTTTAAAAGTCTGCTTTGTCTCTGCATTTGTTCAAACAGGAAACTTACACAACATGGCAAAAGGCTGGGTTTATCCACTTAAAAATTGCCATTTAAAAAAATATTCAGATTTGTAATACATAATTATATGAATCTGTGGAATTGATAGCATCTGTATTAGGAAAATTACTTGAGAAACCAGTGGAGAGAAATTTTGGCACCTTTCCCAAATGGAGGAAAGAAGAAAGGAGAACCAGGTGATTACCACCTGACCCCTCTCTAAAATCAATCATGAAGCTGCAAACAGGAAACATCTTAGAACTTGGGAGACAAAGAGTTAATTATAACGGGGAGAGATTTCTGGGTTTGACCTAGAAAAAGGTTAGCTTCAGCACAGACGTCTTCATAACCATCCCTGTGTCAGCATCACAGCTTGCTGTAAGAAACACAGAAAGGATTTGGCAGCAGCCCTCTCCCACCATCACTGTCTCAAAAAGACCTATTTTGGTTTGTCTGGAAGGCAAGGAATTTTCAGTGGAGTCCAGAAAACCAAAAAAGAATATACTGTGTCCATGTTTAAACTTCTCTGGAAATAAAATGGTATCATCCACTAGTCAAAACATAAGTGGTTCTCCTGAAAACTACACTGTCCTGCCGAGAGAAAGCTTTCAGGATGCAGCCATCTCAAATGCAGCCATTTGTTTTTTGCAGTTTTGTAAACAGCACTTTGGGATTTCATATGCTAAGTTTAGATCACCATTCAGTCTGTTTTAAGATGATGATTTTATTATTCCTATCACCTTCAACAGGAAGTAGACACAGTATTACAAACAATGGAGAACAATAATGTTCACCACCATATTTCCATGCAGACATCATACGAACAAAACATATTTAGCTCTGGCACCTCTGAAATCAAGTTATTCTTCTTCAGCTTACACCTGATGATGATCAGTGCAAAAGCCAAAGGATGAGAAACATCTACAAAAACCTGGGCCATAATATTATAGAAAATGGGACTCAAAGGATGATAAGAGGACAGCTAATCCATCTCTATACCTCTAAGGCTGGATCCACTCTTCCTAACGGATTCTGGACAGAATAATCAGTTTACAGAAACCTCCAGTGAAAGCACTTCCATAGCTTGTCTAGGCAAACCTATGCCCCGATTTAAAACACTTATTGCTAGAGAGCTATTTCTAATGTTTAACCCAAACTTACCTTGTTTCAAATCTAAGCCCAACTACAATGGGTGTGAAGAATAATTCACACCCTTCTGCTCTGCGACACCCTTTATACACTGAAAAAAATAGATTCGGGTCCGTCTCCTCAGTGTTCCCTTTTCCACCTAAACAAACCCAGATCTTTTAATCTTGTTGCTCATGTTCCCAGAATCTTGAATTCATTTCATCTTAAGGGTGATGACAGGGTTGAAGAACAAGAGTTTACCACTCATGTATGAAAAAATCTCATAGAAATATCAAGTCCTTCAGGGAAATCTAAGCAGCATGAGAAATTACAACGCAACTTCTGGGGCTATATGCACTACTGGGGTGGTTCCAGTGACCTCAGCACACTGAAAACAGGATGCCTTGGACTAACTGGATGAAATAGTATGTTGCTTCACTATGGTCAGCAGGATTGCAGGAACTTCTGCCAATGACTTAAGTGAAGTCACTACTTAGTGCTTCATTTGCTGTTCAAAGAAATTAACCACAGTCCAACAGACAGGAGAGATCTAGAACTGTAAGCAGTAGAGAGGAAGTACGGAATGGGATAAAAGAAAGAAAAATTGTATTTCTGATGGTTAGTTTTCCCGTAGTGCTTTTCTCTTTTCTCCCAGGACACTGAACAACAAGGCAGGCAAGAGGAAATGGCAAGCAAAGTAAATGGCATGCTAAGTAAATGGCAGAACGTTTTCTGGCAGTTCTACTGTGAAAAGTAACCAAAAAATGTGAGGGGTGCAGTGCAGACTAGAAGTGTGTATTCAGGATCCCACATTCACCAGTTCAGGATAAATGTGCCAGGGCAAGTTTAGGTTGGACATTAGGAAAAGGCCCTTCACCCACAGGGTGGTGGAGCACTGGAACAGGCTCCCCACGGAGGTGGTCATGGCACCAAGCCTGACAATATTCAAGAAGCATTTGGACAACATGTGCCCTCAGACACATGGTCTGAATCTTGGGATTGTCCTATGCTAAGGCAAGAGTTGGACTCGATGATCTTTGTGGGTCCCTTCCAACTCACAGCATTCTACGATTCTGTGATTTTACAGATCATGGTACGTGATTTGCTTTTAACCTTCTGAAGAATTTGAACCTGGAACTACTGCACAAAAAGAACTGTAATGCAATTCTCTCTTCCAGAGCTGTACTCATGCTTCCCCGTTCATAAAGGATAAGTGAATACTCTACTGAATGTCTCTGAAGCACATCTGCTGAATAAGGTGCCACTTCTCTTGACTGCAAAATTGGAATCAATGGTAGGCTTTTCTTTCTGTGTGCTTTGGATCAGACTGTAATTCTACTGGAAATGGACAGCAAACCATTTAGGATGATGACACACCTAGCTCACAGCTACTAAGATAAGGATCATGTAGCAGTCTTCCCCCATCTTACATATTGCTGTTACCTTCCCCTGCCTATGGACTTATTGACAGTCATTAATCCACCAAATAACATACTGACAGAGAAGCTCTTAAACTATTGCTTAGCTCATTAGAGAAAGTCTTAGGTCCTCAAAAGGATTCTGGCTGGAGGAAAGGCATTCCTTCAACATGCCAGTATCATGAGGCAGCTTGTGTTGGGTTTTGGAGCCCTGTTTCCACCTTTGCCTTACCTCCTACTTCTTCCCCTCCCAACTGCATCAGGGAAGCAAAGAGATACTCTTTGGAAAAAAAGAGGATCTTCCTCAATCCCATCACAGCAAATCCAGCTGTGTCTCTTTCCTATCCACCTTTCTCTGCAGATCACGACAGTAGAGCAAGAGAGTGATGTGCCTCCTCCTTCTAGCTCAGGCAGTCCTGGAGCTCCTTGAGGTGATTATTTTAAATCAACCACACATCTCTGTAAAAGTGATGAGAGGCATCTTCACGCTCCCTCTTCCAACCAGCACCCTCAGCCCTAAAGGTAAAGGCACAGTTTCTTTGACTATGGTCAGAATGAGCTTTTCTTCACAGCATGGAAAGTAACTGTCACATCAGTCCCAGCTATCTGTCTGAGTTTCAGAGTGGAATGGACAATAGGCCACCTTAAGCATTCTGCTTGGAGAAGGTGGCTTTACATCCACATCCCAAAGTTATATTTAAGGAGGCTTCTGATTTCTCCCTTTTCCAGCCTTCTTGAAATTTTTTCCCAAACAATTCATTAGCAAGGGACTGGACTATGTAAATGCTGAAGCAGTTACTACCTATACAAGAACAAGCTATCTCATAAATCACCTTGATTGAAGCTCATGGGAGCAGAGCCAGGCATGAGCCAGGTCCCACCTGGAGGGTGCCCAAGTGTATTACATATGGTATGGCCTCTTGCCAAGAGCTGAAGGAAAAATTCTGACATCGAGAAAGTCACATAATGGATTCTGCTTGGTCTAAAGTACCTGTGAGAGAGTGTCTCCCAAACAGCTCTGGCGTTGTGACATGTAAGATTCACACAGTACATTCCAGGTCCAAGACACGGTCTGGAAAATGCCTCCCACTGTGCTTCTTATGAGGCTCATCAGGGATGCCAGTTTTTGGTGACCACCCTTACCAGCACACCTTCCTCACTACTCTGACATTATCCAACACACTTCGGAAGGGGGGCTGCAATCCCAGTTGGGACCAGCAGCTCTTGTAAGTGAGGATGCATACCCTGACGAGAAATTCAGTTGTAGACGATGAACTTGGGCCTGCAAGACCTATGGCAGTTGTCAGGACTTCTAGCACAAAATATGCAGGAGCATGCATCCAGACATACATTGCTCTCAAGAAGGTGAGGTTTCAGATATATAAAACCAAGCAGGTAAACATCTTGTACAGCCAAAAGAGGTAAAAGACATCATTCTTACACCAGAATCCACTGTTCTGCAAGCAGCAAAATCTAAAGCAGACCCTTCTATTTGCTGGCATACTTAGACCACATAAAACCTAAGCACAGAGAAATGTCATTTTAACACAATCAGAAACTGAAGCTCTTTCCTGTCTGCAGTATTTCCATAGTTAACAAGTGTTAGCCTGTCAAAAGCAGCTGAGGACAGGGGATATTGGACTTTGTCCAATTTATCATCTTTCATATTAGGTTGTTGTTAAGTTACCCATAGTTAATCAGGAGACAAAACAAGACAATAAACCAACAGCAGGAAACTCAATCCAAGACATGTGTTTCTATTCAGTGCCTCTGACACAAGTACCCAAAGCTAAAGGGATAAATCAGCTTCTGTTTTATTTATGCAGTCACAGAACAACGGAGGATTTAATTTCTCTCTTTTCAGGCTGAGGTTTCATACTAAATGAAATGTCCTCTTTCCTTACAAATGCAGTTGGCTCCTATCACTAACAACTCCCCTTGAAGGAGAAACAAATGAGGCAGTATTGCAAGGTCATTCATTAACAGAAAAGCAAACTCATTATGTACACTGGCTATCTTCTACAGGCTTTGGAGCCCACTTCGATGGTGACATAGGACATATAAACAGATTACTACACACGTATTATTTTTAAACTCCTAATTTCTACACAGCGTACTTACACTGCCCATTCCAGCTTCTCATTCTTGATTGAATTGTAGAGGGCCTGCAAAGAGAGAAAAATGAGATGGAATCATTGTTTGACCCCTGCTACACATACATTAATACGCTGAAGAAAATTACCTAATACCAGCAAGCAAGCTGTCTCTGAGGAAGAAAGTAACATATCTGCTCACAGTAATGCAAAAGTCTCGAACAGAGATCTCATCTAAGGGAAAAACACCAGAATGCAGGGTTTGAGATAACGGTCATTTTCTCAAGCAGGTTTTGGGAGTTTGTTGTTTGGATATTTTTTTTTTTTTTAATAACCTTGTTAAGTTTGCAAAAGCCAAAAGACTACAGCCTTGAAATTCAAGGTCCAATTTAATTCCTGATAGTGAGATTGTTTCTCACTGACTTTAACGGGGCCAAGACTTCACTTTATAGCTATCCAAAGCCCCTGAGCCTCATAGACACCTGAATCCCTCCCCAGTCACACACTTAAACATAAACATGTTTCATTTCTAAGTGCGAAACAGAAAATGAATAATAAGCAGCTTTTGTGCTTGAAGATCAATATCTTGGACTGCTGCCTGCTAACATCATTACTCTTTCAATTAATAGGAAAAGATGCTAGTAGGTTTGACAGCAAAGGTCACAATTCTGTTGTTGATATCAGCCTGCAAAGAAAAGGGTCTGGAGGCTGACTTAAGCCTGGGTGGATAGCACACAGTTGGAATGGATTTTTTTGAGAGGGAGTAGGTCCATCACTTGGATAAGTGTGTCAGTGATTTCAGCCCTCCAGTAGCTGTTGCATACAATGGACAAATGCCTACTATTACTACAAGCTAATGGAGTTCTTCAAATAGGCCACTTGACTCAAGTGAAGTGTTTTGGTATAGAATGTCTCTGATTCTCACACTTATAATCCACATTTGTAATTTATCTTATATACATAGCTAGATCTACTCCCTCTGGCACGTAACTCCTACACAGTCTCAAAATATGTTAACGTGTAGAAGAACTGTTGATGCACATGATTACCAAAAAGTAGCACATCAAGTATGAACAAGACTGAAAATCACATAGTATAATACTTATGACACTCTCAACAGAAACATTACCATTTAAATAGCCTTAACTCTGACCCAAAACAAAAATAATCTGGAAAACTGAGGAGTTGAAACTAGTCTTGTGCATATGCCATAGCTAAACTTGCAACAAGAATCCCATAAGCATATCCACTGCTCATCCTGAGATGCACTCACTCCTTTCTAAACCTTGCATGGTCTATTTGAGCATCTTTAACATTCAGCTCTGTGAAAATCTGGTTCGACTGAACCATACACAAGCAGGTCAAACATACTGGTACAACTCGCTTCATGCTGAGGCTACACACGCAGCAACTTTTAGTCACAGTGTACCATAAAAAGCAGGTTTCTCAGAGCAACAGAACAGATATGACCACCAGGAGGAATAACCCCACACCCTACTTACACTGACCTAGCAGAGAGAGATCCTCACTGCTAACAGGACTTTGCTGTACGACTCACAGCAATATGGTGAAATATTTCCAACTCTGGAGTTTTCACTGTCTATTTCTAGTTAACCTATCTTCTTCAAACTTCTTTAAGGAGCTCTGATCCAAAGGCAAACAGACAAAGGTGAGGGAAAGGGTGTTGCTGGCAGTTTGTAGGAGCTTTGCTTAATTTTCAGGGGAGAATTATCAAGAGATTTTAAGACCACCTAGCAGGAAGAAAGCAAAAGAAAGGACTAATATTTCTCCTTCCACACAGTCAGCAGTCCAGCAGAATTAGACACACCGCAATTTTTCTTCATCAGCTGATGCTGACATTGACTCCCTAAGGTCACTCAGTATCTTCTAGCAGAAGCCACTATGTTTCTAATGATTTGGCCAAAGCCCCCTCTTATTCTCTGACTTATCTTTTTCTTCCTACTATGATTAAAATATTCTCTTACATTTTGAGCCAGAAAATTACATATAAATGAAAGAGGCTGCATTTTTGCCCCAGTTGCCTCCCCATTTTTATAGAAGCAGCATTTCTTTCCCCAGCTGGCTGGATGAGCTTTTGAAACATAGCAAAAACCTGGCCTGGGGTATCAAAAATGTCTTTTGCTGCTCCCTGGCTCAAATGCCGACAAGATTGGGTCAGGACCTCTGAAAATGAACACCTGCCTTGTGCAGTACTGCTTTTTATGGGATTTTGCTGCTAAAGAAGTCTACAGAGATTACTACAGCCAAAGAGCAGGACATACAAAAGCAGCACTCCAGACTGGTATGGGAACAACAAATGCCCTAGGCTTTTGCCTTGTGGAAAGTGACATGTGTTTGTCCCCATCTCTACTAATGAGCCAGACTCCATCTTCCTCCTTTAGGGAATAACAGACACCAACACAGTCATATGGCATACATCTGACGAAGGACACAGTGTCCCCCATACAGCATGAAACATAGCTTCTCAGCAAGTCTCTGCTATTTACAAAAAGAAAGAGAAAACCCTACAGAGTATCCACAGCCTGGGCAGCCATATACAGGGCACGTTTGGTGTGTCTACCAAGTGTGTTCAGTGATACCTCAGTGAGCAGACCTCTCAAGGGATGGAGATACATGAGTTCTCATGCCTGCCCCTCAACCCACCTCTCTGGGAGAGACTGCTGCTGGGCTGCACACTTGCCATTGCATTCACCAGCTTTTTAGAGCTGTTTTACGTTCTTTCTCTGAAGCAATTTATGCTTTAACATTTTCCTAATGTCTACGGGGCTCTCACATGAACTAGAGAAGTAGAATTTCCTCCTCCCACGTTTTGCAGCCAGTAGCAGACGCATACAACCCAGCACCTGCTCCATCATTTATTTAATGGCTGTTTCCCAAGGCCCTGATTCAGACAGCAGCTCTTTTCAGCAGACTTCTCTCGAGTATGATTAAATCAAACAAACTTGGAGACAAGCACTTAAATGCTTCACTAAATTGCAACAAAGCTGATCAGAGATTATGGCGGGGACATGACTTTCATGATACTTAACTAGCTGCAAGGACAGGTTTTATTAACTCATGTTTTCTCTCTAGGCAATGAGAATTAAAAAAAAAAGCTCTGATTTAAAGCACTCTTACAGTTTGACAACAATCACAGATTCTTATCTTCTAGCCTGGGAAGTGCTTGGCAAATTTGCTATCTAAGCCAGAAAACTGGAGGGTGGATGACAGCAGGGAGTGCCAGAACAAATACTGCATGGGTCCCATCTTCCAAGCTGGACCAATACCACTTGGAAAGGGAAGAGACTTTCTGTCCTTTCTGGCACCCAAGGCTACTGAAGGCAGGATCCAAGCCCCCAGCTACCAATTACTCAGCGGTATCCAGCTTCACTGCTTCAGCTCTTAAACTCTGTTACTCAGATCGCAAAAGCCTACTCGTGCAGCTTTCCCTTTTCTGAGTATTGGTTATCTCTGGTTCCACCACACCTGAGACCCAGCACTGATCTAAGGTGTCTGGAGAAACAAAGGCAGTTTTGAAGGGAGAATAAAAAAAAATTACCTGCTGCATAAAACAGAATAGTAGGCAACATCCCAGACACTTTCCTTATCTTAACTCAAATGCTGTTTCTTACAGCTCCAATTTGACACTTAGCAGACTGCAGTATGAAAAAACAAGGGGATTTGTTAAGTATTTGTGGGATTTGTTTGTATTTGTTCATACCTCAGCAAGAAACTTACACTTTCTTTTTTAAGTGGAAGCCTCTAACTCTGTAAGAAGTTCCATTCCCTTAGGTAAGCAGGCAGGTCAACTAAAAATCCAGATTTTCATAAGCTCTCACCAGTTGGTACTCCTATTCAATTTGGAAAGAGAAGCAAAACTATGCAGAGAGTGCTTGTGAAAACTTCTGTTTATATTACAAAGCTGCCAAGAAAAAAAGGTCACTCACCATCCTTACTTCCCTCAAAACCTTGTCACATTTGCCAACCATTGGACCTATTTAACCAGGCTGCTGGCTATGCTGTGACTCAGCTTCTGCATGCAGAAGCAGAGAACAAAAGAAAGGCACAACCAGGTGTGCGCATAGGGACAAAAGACATAATGAATTACCCAGATACTCATCTTGGTAAATCATCAATGTAACAAGCAGGCATAGGGCCCCCACAGCTTGGCCAGCAGTGTGCAAGAGGTCCCAGGGCACTGTGTGAGCCCTTCCCTCAACAGGCAACATAGGGTTGGCTCTAGAAAGAGACTACTGACTTTCTGTACACACCAGAAAAGCCTGACAAGAGGGAAAGGAATACACCACAGGTATTTCTTATACTTGTTCCATGCACAAAAAGAGAAGGAGCCAGAAATGCCTGCCGTGAGTGGATAAACGGGGAAAACAAAGTTCAGAGAGCCAGCAGGGATGACCCAAACTTTCTTCTCCAGTTTTTGCCTCCCAGGCTTTCTGCTCACACCCAGTTCCAACCCAATTTTTGGAGCTGTTATTGAAGGAATGACTATCTGACCATTAAAGGAGCTACTGCAGGTGGCTTTTTCAGCCCCCAGAACAGGGGTGCACTTGTGCACTCTGTCTCAGGCTCCTGCCACCTTCCTCTGATACCACTGTAAGAAGAAGCCCTGCCTGGGGACATTTCTTCGTCACCTCCAGCTGGTAGTGGTACAGTTGACCCCAGGCAACCAAGGAAGCCCCAGTCAAACCTCCGGGTAAAGACATGCTCAGTCTTTGCAGTCAGAAGCGTTCAGTCAGAAGTTCAGCATCTCACCCAGTCACTCAGCACTGGTCCATCAGCTCCGCCCCTCAGATCACAGCAGTCAGCCAGACACCAGCCCCAGCTCCCACCATACGCTATTTATTGGAGAGAGGAAAACCAACAAAAGTAGCAGAACTCTACAAAAATAAAACAGGCTACAGAGGCAACAGATACCAGATATCACAAGTATCTGCATGCAGTCCTGATAGGTGTTAGTGTGCCTGTCCTTTGGACCTGGGAGTGTGTCTGTGTCACTGCCTTCTGCCAGGTTTGGATGGGGTGCGACACATTGCTATATACCACTGCCCGTTTGCTGTTTCAGTGATTATCTGAAGGCTGACCCTCCCCCAGAACTGTTCCTTGCATGCAGATCTACACTACCTCACCATCTCCTATTTGCCACCTTCCCCCAATATCCAGATCTTGACATTTTCTCCTCATGCACAGATCTGTAACACCTGGTAAGGCAAGGATAAGGGCTCTGATCACTGACTGTAGCTCCTTGCCAGGCTCAAAGCCCACATGCTCCCGACGTCTCATGCATTTCCCCCCCTTCTGAAGAGGATGCAGCAAGGATGCCACAGTAGTACCCTAAGAAGCCTGTGGGTTAGTGCACGGCATGGCATATCTGCTGATATTGTTCTCAATTTCAAATTCCACTGGTTTGTACAACAAACGTTCTTCTAACAAGCCGGCATACATTATTCATAAAACAGCACAGAGCTGTTCAGCAGCATATGGAACCGATGAATGTTGTTTTGGTGTGGGTGGAGATAGGGTTGATAGGAATGTTTTAGGGGGGAAGGAAAGGAGATCATTTCACCCAGGGAATTTCAAGTGCGTCACCAACTGGAGGAGAACATTTCTAAGAGAAAGTCCTCTGTTAGAAATCTGGGTTGTATGGAGAAGGGGAGGAAGGAGGAGAAAGAAAAAAGGAAGGAAAGATTTTGCCAGATACATCATCATAAAACAGAAAAGGATAGTTAGCTGGGGCTCCTGAGAGCCAAGAAATTAATGCCACACAAGAAATGCGTCCTGTGTAAAACTGATACATGGTGGTTGCTTCAAGAGATTTGTTCTGTACTTGCTGGAGTGTTTCATCAGTGTTACTAGTAAAGGCCTCATACTGGATTATTAGAGGTGAAAAGAGGAAAAGCTAGAGAAGTGTTTCTTGATAGCGGAGCACCTACACAGCCTATTTCAGAAACTGTTTTACAAGCCCTGTGTATTTGCAGGCAGGACAGGCACAGGCACTCTGCAATTCAGTCCATGGCTGCAGGAAAACAGAGTCTGTCAGGAGAAGAGACTGCTGAGCATGCTGGGTCACACAGACAATCCTAAGGTCCTCTGAAGTCACCTTGCTTGCAGCCTGGGTTTGAGCCTGCTCTCCCGAGAACAACAGAACACCACAGTACCCTTTTCACAGGTTCTGCTGCTGGTCTGGGGATGTGATACCTGCCTATAATACACGCCCAGGATGCATCACCTGATGGGGCCTGTATATGTACAGGTGCATGTGTGTACAAATGCGTGCACAGAAGCACAGCCTGATGTTTTTCAAGGAGATGATGGGTCCTTGGGCTACCTAGCTGCTTTAATGCTCCAGCAGGCAGACCTCATATGCAGGCACCATGTTGGTGCCTTGTTCATACTGGCTAGAGAATGAGGATATTTAATATTCTCTAGATCAGCAAAATAGGCTGAGTCATATAGGTACAAAGTATCAGAAGAGTATGTTTCTTAGGCACAAATGACTTCATCTGTCTCCGGCACTAAATCAGCTGAAACAGTAACAGAAACAGGTCTTGAACATTTTAATTACTTTGTAGGGGAAGCCCATAAAATACAAAGCAGTTCAGACACAAAGTGGGAAACACAATCACAGAAGTATGGAAGAGGACAAGCGTACAAATCAAGCCCTACTTGAGACCAAGGGGGTCTACACAGCACCACTGTCCTGAAAGCCCAGCCTAGAACTGAAGATACTTCGTGAGAGGTGATGTATAAGCACATACTCACATACTTACACTGATAAAAAGACCTCATTTGCAATGCCACACAGCAGCAACAACTTCCAGGTCTCTTCCATCAACACAACAGAAGAGCTAAAACTCAAATATAAATCAGTTCTCTAAATCAGTGCAAAACAGTCAGAAGGGGGAACAGACATACAGAAAGAACAGGGCTGCCCAAAATCACAAGACCAATCAGTGGCAGAGCTGCTTGTCATCTTGTCAACTGGGCAGGCGTCACTGATGGGCATGTAGGGATCTGCTCAGCCCTCCATAACACAGCTTTTGCAGGTCTTAGATGCTCCACAGACACAAATGTCTTTGTATGAAATAAGGGAACAGCACTACAAGCAAAACCAAAGCTGCAGTATGCTTCCCAATCTTCTGAGAGAGGCAGGAGAAGTGGATATCTCTCACACAACAACCTACACAACTCAGAAGGCAGAAACGTGAATCCCACAGAGACACCACATGTCAGATGCCATCTCTGGGAGAAAGTCCCTGCCCTGAGGATGTTACACCATGCATACATAGTGAGCACAAAGCCTGGGAGAGGGAACAGAGGTACAGAGATTAAGTGATTCACCTAATGTCAAAAGACCCGAGTTTCCCCCATATGCAGAGACTTTCCGTAGATAAATCCTCCCATCAAATACCGTGCAATTATTCCCATGCCTAGGGCGAACATGATCACAAGAGCAGGGTCCCAGAGCACCTGCAAGATGCAGCCTTTACTTTGGCATTTGCTAGAGCAGCAGATACTGCATCAGCAACAGCCTGAGAAGGATGGCCATGCTAGCAGTGCCATCCTGCCACAACCTTAGCAGTACACAGTTTCTTAGTTATAGTCAGTAAGACCCTCAAAATGGATGTTCCTGAAACTAGACTGAATAAAATACTTCATTTAGTTCCGTTTGTGTTACTTCATGATTAAAGATCTGCAGCTGAGGCTCTAAAATGCCATACAACCTGTAAGCCAGCAGACAGTGATCTGCTAGGAACTACTGTGCAGTACTGGGCAGAAAAGGTTTCTCTCAGGACAGATTTGAGATTCAGGGAAGGCACAGAACAGGAAGATCCATGCATGTGCCTGCTTGTTTGCATGTATGTGGATACAGGACATGGTTAAATGCCTTTGACTGACACTCTGAAATACTTCAGCCTCATTCAACACACCTTTGCAAATGGTTGTATATTCTAATCCCAAGGCAGAATCAATTTGCAGCAGGAAAGAAATTAGAGGCATATTTGGTCACTGCACTGAGTTCATCCAACCCATGGAGACACGGAGCACCTTTGGGAGGGAGATGGCTACTAAAGCTCTTGCCATGGGTTCCTGGGTGGCTCTCAGTTATTGAGCTGGAGCGAGGAATGAGGAAAGAAACAATACTGCATGGAGTGGGGGTTGTTTGCCTAGAAACCAAACAACTGGGCTAGTCTGGGTAAGGGAGATGCTGCACACAGCCACTGTAGCAGCTGGGCATAGCCTGTGCTACCAATGGCTACAATACACTAAGGTATTCCTATAAACGCACAAGTGATGCATTCCTAATAAATACTTGATGGCAATATGTAATTAAGCATGCAAGAGAGATGATATTTTTTACCCAGCACCCACACCTACTAAACCACAGAGCTACAGAGAAGGAGCAAAAACTATTTTTTCTATGAAAAATCATTCCCATTAAACAGATAATCCCAAGGACATCACTTGCCAACTCTGGCACCTTTCCTAAGGGCTGAGCTCCGATTAGCATCCTCGCTAGCAAGTTTTCACTGTTTACTATTGCACCAAGCTCAGCGACAGGGCATTCCTCTAAGACTCAATCCCTGCCACACACCAGACCTTTTTCACCTTCAAGTCTCTCCTCAAGCCTAGATATTTTTTTCTGACCTGACAGCAATTCTGTCATCACTGCAGATCATCCAGAGCCCTTAATTCCTGCAGACTGTAACCTTTTCAACACCACCACCTCCACTCCTATCAGAGAGAAACACTATTAACATTTAGTTATTTACCTTGCTTTCCTTAGTAGAAAACTCAGAGGAGTTTGAGATTTTCATAGATTTTGACCGATGGGACTGCCGCCAGAGAGATTCTTCTCGGGAGTATTTCACCGAACCTGTGGCTCTCACCCGGACTTTGCTGGTGCTCTGAACACTGTTAACTCCGATCATTTCCAAAAGTGAGTGTATGGGATGGGGGAGAAGAAAGGTAATGGCACTTCCCAATCCCCTGCAGAGGAACTGGAAAAGGTTATGTCTGGAGAGCTCAGGCTCAAGCAATCAGTGTTTGCTTAAAGCGCACTAGGCTGTTTTCTCCAGCATCTTCAGGCACACTGTTTGGAGCCAGGCTGATTCTTCCAGGCATTGCTCACGTCACTGGACGGAGGGGGTGGGGGGGGGGGGAAAAAAAAAAAAAAGAGGCTGCTAGAAACTCCTCCCCTCCTCCACTCCCCCCTCCAGCATCCACTCCCCCTCCACACACACACCAACAGCAAGAGGGAGAGAGGTGGAGAGAAAGATGCTGGAACAAATGCCAGGAGATCAAGCAAGAGATTCATTTTCAGTTCACACATCCACACTTCCCTGCCTGCAACAGCCTGTCATGCTCATTACTCTCTGCAGTAACAAAGGACACCGTAAAAAGTCTGCAATCACCTGCCAGCTACAGGCTTCTGGATGTGAGAAATACCGATGGATTCTTAAAGCAGTGGAGAAATGAATGAAAGCCCACAGCACCACAACAAAGTTCTGGCAACGCCCAGAGAGATCCCCAGCAAATTTCCACAACTCTATTCATTTGCACTTGTTAGCTAGCATCCTTGGGGTGCCTTCCCAGGGGGCAAGGAACAGCAAGATCACTTTCAGGCTCTAAGAGGGAGTTAGGCGAAAGCAGGTGACTTGCCCAAGATGACCAGTGCAAACCATCGAGAGAGCTGCGAGCGAGCAGCTGGGGACCCATCTGCACCCTTGGCATCCAGGAGAGCTGTAGCCATACCCCTCCGCCAGCAAACAGCACACTCCAGCAGCTGGCCCTGCGAGCAATGCCGCTCCCGAGCAGTACCCTGTTCCTCCCCAGTGGGAAACCCACACCACCCAGCGACAGGAGGGCCACTGCCACAGCCCACGCACGCTGCAGGCACCGCTCCAACCCACGGCAGCCAGGCTCCGCGGCTCAGGCGCGCTCCCAGCACCTGGAGCCACTCTCCCCTGCGCAGGGGGCGAGAGGAGGCCGATGCCGATGGCAGCCAGCGCTCTTAACCAGGGGTGGATGCGCTATATAAGGGAAAAGAGAGATGTTTACCTCAGTGTTGCAAAACCACCATCATTTCTGGCTCCTGGAGACCCAGAGCGCAGCAGACTGTGCATTGCCATAGCAACCTGCTCTGATGAGACAGAGAGATCTCTGCTCTGCTCTGCTCTGCTCTGCTCTGCACGGGGTTGTGGCAACTGTCGGCATACTCCAGGGCAGGTGGAGCAGCTCGTGCAAGCACTAAGGCAGAAGTGGACAACAGGGACATCATCCTGAACTCAGAAGAGGCAAACAGCTTGTGCAGCATGGGGACCTCATCGTGGGCTAACACTGGGTTCAGCAACCTGCCCCACAATGCCAGCCCACCAGGCAGGGCAAGTCCAGCAGCAGCGAGGTTGTGGTCTGGGAGGACACAAGAGCCTCTTGTCGACTCACAGGGAGCTGCAAGTCTGTGCATGCAGCCAGAGAAGAGGGGTTGCTGTCCTGGCACTCCGATGTCAATGTCCTGTGCTGAAACGCGTTGGGCAGCCAAAGGCTCTGGCCCCCATTCACACCTGAGTCCCATTCCATGTCAGCTGAGCTATGTTAAGACACAGCAAGAGTATGCTCATCCTACGTCACATGCATGACAGCACTGAGGAGTAGATAAGAAGCAGACTAATTGAGTGGGCTTTTCCCCCAGTTACATCTTCCCAGCCTCTTGCAATCAGGGATTTACATCCTTAGTGGGCAAATAGCTAGACAGCCACATTATCGTCCTAGGTGCATTTTTGCTCATAAAAGACATTGCTGCCTCTCCACTATGCAGCAGCCCTTCAGTCATCAGTCACCTTTTGTTTGCGTTACCCTCAAGGATGCTACAGATGCAAATCCAGTCCACAGATTGCAATCAGTGTGGACCAGGCTGAAAGACAATGGCCAGTGGAACAGGGAACAAGCAACCTAAATATCACTATAAAACCTGTTCTTGGGGTGACATGCTTTTGATTCCCCACAGATCCTGCCGTTGTCCTTCTTAAGGTACAGACTTCTTCCCACCTGGTAAACAAGCAGAATGCATTCTCATTTCCACCACAGTCAAGTCTAGCAAGACCACTCCAACCTCACACATTAAGATCAAATCCTAGATGTACCCCAGCCTTTATAGACAAACCTGTCATTGCTAGGGGGTACCTGAAGGAACAGAGGACCATTTTTATCTGGCAACAAGCAATTACACGCTCTAAGTTACTTTATCACTTCCCAGAAAAGGTTTTATGCTACTTAATCTATCTGAAATTATCCACTGCTAGAGGAAAAGCTTTTCAAAAAAAATCTCTTCTTAGAGGAAATTTTGACTGCAATCAAACAGCTAAGTAGCAGGTCCTGACAGATGCTACGTAAATGGCCACAAATCACTCCCTTTCCCACCAGCCCCCTGCCTAGCAGATTATTCTTGCTCTTGGATTTATAAGGCCCTAAGCACCCTCAACACACCTGAAATAATTACATTCCCTAAATATTGCATGCAGACCTAGGCCAACGTGAATTATGAAGAGCAATTTCATTATTAAACACAAGCTAGACTGAATCATGGCAACATTTATCTTCTGTTGCCCACAGCATAGCATCATCGTTGCTACCTCAGTGCAGCAGTTCTCCACCTAGCATCCTCTGAGCTCAGGTTAGCAGATCCTCAAGCAGGACAATAACTTTAATTCACAAGGGAACAAGTCTGGTTCAGCTGTAACCAAGCAGCAGTCCAAAACACCAAGTGTGACAGGCTGCATCTTGTTCAGCTGTTTGTTTGGTTTTGTTTTGGTTTTTTTTCCCAATGGAATATGGGAAACACTTCTCTCTCAGCTCATACTCTCCAAAAGAGAGCCTCCTGAGATCATGCTTTTGAAGCCTTAAACATCTTCAGCTCAGGGATTCAACTCAGATTTCATCAGTGCCCCTGATTTTCATCTGCAAGTGCTAACAATCTTGTCTGACTGAGCCAGTAGCCCTGTGTACACAGTGACTGTCTTCTGGGGAAAGACCACTCTTTAACATTGGAGAAGTCCCACCATTTTAGAAATTTGCATGCACGCAGAATTGATTCCTGTCTGTAACTGAACAACAGGGATTTCTGAGGAAGAAGTGGATTGTTAACATAAATCAAGGGATAGAAGGGATTTTTTTAAAGAGGGGCTGATATGGTTGTGCAATACCAGAGACATCAAAGCTGTCTACATCCAGGTGACCCTCCAGGTATGTCCAGAAGACATGATCTTCCTCTTGATAAGAGGCCAACAAAGAGGTGGTGGGAAAAGGGCAGAATGCAGATATTCAGTCACTATTTCATCTGAACAGCCCAGTCACACTACTGGGGTGTATGAATGTTGACCGTATTTATGAACCTTCCCTACCAGCACTTCTAAGGAGCAAACCATAAACCAGCAGGAGAATTTGAAACTCTGGGCTAAAACAGGTGCAGGAGGGGTAAACCACAGTCTCTACTAGTCCATCCACCTCACCCTTTTAAAGCAACTCAAAAGTTTTTCACCTGTCATAGGCACTATGGCAGACTACATCACCCATAGACAAAACAGGCAGTTATTCCAACTTACTGTGTAATGAGCTCTTTCCCATCTCTTCCTCCTACTGGTCAAGTTTCCCAGGGAGGTCAAACGTACTCAGTCCTTAATTGGTCCTCCTAACATCACTCAACAACACAAGAATCACAGAATCATAGAATTGTTTTGGTTGGAAAAGACCCTTAAGATTACCAAGTTCAACCATAAACCTAACACTGCCAAGTCAACCTCTAAACCATGTGCCATATCTACAAGTCTTCTAAATACATTCTGGGGTGGTGATTCAACCACTTCCCTGGGCAGCCTGTTCCAATGCTTGACAACCCTTTCAGTAAAGAATTTTTTCATAATATCCAACCTAAACCTCCCCTGGTGCAACTTGAGGCCACTTTCTCTTGTCCTATCACCAGCTCCCTGGGAGAAAAGACCAACATGCACCTTGCTACACCCTTCATTCAGGTAGTTGTAGGCAGTGATAAGGTCCCCCCTCAGCCTCCTTTTCTCTAGACTGAACAACCCTCAGCTGCCTCTCATAAGATTTGTGCTCTAGACCCCTCACCAGCTTCATTGCCCTTCTTTGGACACGCTCCAGCACCTCAAGGTCTTTCCTGTAGTGAGGGGCCCAAAACTGGACACAGTATTTGAGGTGCAACCTCATCAGTGCAGAGTACAAGGGGATAATCACTTCTCTAGTCCTGCTGGCCACACTACTTTTGATACAGGCCAGGATGCCATTTGCCTTCTCGGCCACTTGGGCACACTGCTGGCTCAGCCGGCTGTTGACCAGCACTCCCAGGTCCTTTTCTGCCACCTTTTCCCCCGGGGCCCCCCCCCAGCCACTCCTCCCCAAGCCTGTAGCGTTGCATGGGGTTGTTGTGACCCAAGTGCAGGACACAGAACTCAGCCTTGCTGAACCTCATATAACTGGTCTCAGCCCATCACTCCAGCCTGCCCAGACCCTTCTTGTAGAGCCTTCCTACCCTCAAGCAGATCAACATGCCTGCCCAACTTGGTGTCTTCAGCAAACTGACTGAGGGTGCACATGATCCTCTCGTCCAGATAATTGATAAAGATATTAAATAAACAGAGCCAGTCCCAACACTGAGCCCTGGGGAATGCCACCTGTGACTGGCCTCCAGCTGGATTTAACTCCATTCACCATCACTCTTTGGGCTCAGCCATGCAGCCAGTGTTTTACTCAGCAAAGAGTCCACCCACACAAGCCATGAGCAGCCAGTTCCCCCAGGAGAAGGATGTGGGAAATGGTGTCAAAGGCTTTACTAAAGCCCATGTCGACAACATTTACAGCCTTTCCCTCACTCACTAAGCAGGTCACCTTGTCATAGAAGGAGATCAGGTTAGTC